AGGGACACTACAAGAAGGAGTTGTAGGTCCCGGATGACGAGGAAGGGAGAGTCCGAGGTAGAAGGACATATGACCTCAGAGGAGTAAACCGAAGATGCTTCGGTTCTCGGTCGTAGGTCAAGAGGTGAGGTCTCCACATTTAAGTGGAGCTTCCTCGGGTAGGATGCTCAGGAGATGGTGTGAGTTGGCAGGTGTCGGGATTCACCGGGTTAGAGTCGGTGTAGGTTGGAGCGCTAGGACACTCCCTCTCGAGGTGGAGCACGTGCACTCACGTGTCTCATTCTCGGTGGAGCATCGTAGATGACTAGGATCGTTTTCACGGGACAAAACTGTGAGACAATTCTAGTTGGCATGTTAGGGTCCGTGGGTAGAAGTCACTAACTCATAGGTGGTGTAGACTCTACGGGGATCCAGGGTTAGGTTGTCTAGCAAGTTCGGTAGTATGGCTCAGGTTAGTCTCGGGGTAGTCGGGTTAGACTCGGAGACGGGTAGATGTCGGGGTTAACTCTCGAGGGTGCACGGGTGAAGTTTAGACTTCATCGAAGAGAGTTATGTAGATGGTCTAGGGAATCATAACTATTCGAGGTCATCGTTAGTCTTCGGAAACGAGAGGTGTCGAGGGACACTCGGACACTCGTTTTTGGGTAGACTAGGATTTGCGTGTTTATGTTGTTTATTCACGCTGAGACGTACTTATGGTACGCTCGGTAAGAACTCTCCTAATAACGGTGTTCCAATACGCCTTGGATCATGCCGGGAGGGAGAGTTAAATATAGAAGTAAAGGGAAGTGCTAGGGTTCAGATTTGGCGTAGTTTTCTTCGTGTTTGTCTCTTACAGGTTTTGCTGGGATTTGCAGAAGAAGGATGGAGATTTGTAGAAAGTCTTCAGCTAATCCGCTAGTTGAAGTGGAGGATTTCAATGCTTCTGTTTGAGATGGAGGCTTCACAAGGACAGAGGGGCGTTATGGTCTTTTAACGCGGGCTTGTAAATGAAACCCTAATTGGGTTTCATCTTCTTGCAATCTGTAATTCGGACGTTTCTCTCTCTTGCGGCTGAGAGCTCCTTCTCTCACCGTGTACGTGTGTGTGCGTGTCTCCGGAGCCGTTATCGGCGGTTTCCGGCGACGGTATGTGTCTGTAATCCTAGACACACATCTTTCTCTTCCCGAGACGTAGGTACCGAGGTTCCTCTCAGTACTAAACTTGTATCTTCGGTGTCTCTTGCGTTTCTTTTTCGGATCGGTTCAAACGAGGGTGAATCGGAGTGAATCGGTGAGGGATCGAAGACCGGGAATCACAGAGGTAAAAAAATGACCAAAATATCATCGGTTTTAATAACATAAACAATGATATACATAGTCACTCTGTATCGCAATCGCAATTGCGTTCAACAAGTCAATATGAATCGCAACATTCGCAATCGCAACATTCGCAATCGCTATCCAATATCCACATAAATTTTTCTATCTCCCGGACTCATCCTCTCCTATCCATAGCAAACGTACATTGCAAATGCCCATTATTTTAAATTCTATCTACCACAAGTTTGTTAAAAACGATTTATACCACTTACTCGACAAAAAATATTTTGTATTTAAAAATAATTTTTTATGATATAGTTTTCTACTTATAATAAAATAAATAGATAACTAAACTATTAGATTATAACTTCCTAATCATTTGAAACCCGTTAAAATTATATAACCTAATATATAATATCCAAAGGATTTATAGCATTTTTCATTTTGGAATTCAACGCCACTCGTTTCTGTTTTGTTTTGTATAAATGATATTTTAAAGAAAATCGCATGTTAATATACGAATGTGTAAAAACAAAATATTAGATAAATAAACGAAATTTAAAATTATCAGATAAATAAAATAATTTTTTTTAGATTGTTACAAATTTTCAAACCGAAACCATTCGATAATAACATAAAACATCAACGTTTAATTTCTAATTTTTGTTTTTATATCTTGTTAAAAAAAACGTAAGAGAATTTTGACAAAAAAAAGCAAGAGAGATTGATTTTCTCATTATAAAACTCATATTTTTTTAGGGAAAATCCAAAAAAAAAAATACTGAACTTTTAAATTTTGACAAAAAACACTTAACTCTTCTACGATTGTCAAAATAAACAAAATGACTGGCGTATCACAATGAGATGCAAACACGTTATATTATTTTACTTAGGTTTTTTACAATAAAAAAAATTCATGTATTTTTTTGGATCATTAAAAAAGTTCAGTATTTTTTTTATAATCGCAGAAAATTTGATATATTTTTTAAATCACTTAAAAAATTCAGTGTTTTTTTAGATTTGTTTAAAAAAATAAAGTTCGGTATTTTTTATCAAAATTGAAAAATTCAGTGTTTTTTTTGGATTTTTTTAATTAGCTCTTAATATCCTTTTATACAAAAATAAATATTTAAATAACCAAAACTACTATTATGGAGGCACTAAGCAGTGTAAGCACTAACACGAGTCAATCTCATCATCCCAAAAGAATAGGACTTTGACAAAGACTAATTATAAATAAAAAATAATTAAAATAAAATTAAAACAAGATTATTTCTATCATTGACTATTATACTAAATTAAACCTTGAATTTTTTTAAAATAATAAAATTAAATATTTAACTTTTGGCAAACCACCAAATGAAATTAAAGGCTAAACTTTTCAAAGTCTCCCAAAAACCATAATGATATGAAGTTTTTTGGGAAGAGTCTAAAAATTTATGTTCTAATCTAGAAGCTAAGAAGAGTTTATGTGTTTTTTTTTGTTTTGAAAATTTTATCATTCATGTATTAGTTTAATGTTTTTATAAATTTCTGTATTAATATGTCATTTTATTGATATTTTAAAAATGTCATATTTATTTTGTTTCCATAAGTTTTTAGTGGTACTTCTTAGGAGTGTTCATTTGAGATTATAGTTTGGATTCAGTTTTATTTATTTTGTTTTGAGAAAACTTATAACATTCAGTTTTTATATTGGATAAGGTTCGGTTTGATTTTTATTCGAATTTGGTTTAATTTCGTTATTATTGTTAAAATTACTTATTTTTTAAATAAATTTCTAAATTATTTGTTATTTTACATGCCTATTAAATTCATATTAAAGTTTTGATTCTAACTCAATTTTTATATCTCATTCGATTTAAATATAGTTATCTATTTCTTACATGACTACAATCAAAATTTTACATGATTATTTTCTAAATCTCTAACATTATTTTTCTTATAAACTGTGATAATTATGACTTTAAAAATTTAAACCTAATTTACTATATTCATAGAAACATTGTGATAAATATGGGAACACGTGATCTTGGCCTCAAACCAATACCAATTGAAATATGTTTTATGTAAATAAATTCCAAAATCATAGGCAAGAAAAATGACACAATCATTGCTGCTTAACTGCCCTTAGAAATAACCAACAATTACCAACATAAATAAATAAATGTAAAACATAACAATTTATATATATATATATATACGTATTTAATATTCGTACTTTTTTTTAATAGAGTTTACCGAAAGAGGATTACTATAGCAAACACACATATAACTTCACATGGACGTTAAAAATAATTGTTTTTTGTTTTTAATGACATCTATCTTATGTGGTGTATAACCATTTTTCTGTAATAAGTATTTTTTGTTCATCTTATAGTAACTAGAACCTGATATATATATATACACACACATATGTATATCACCACAGTTAATATAGATCAAACAAATGTGTGATTTATTTGACTATAAATGTAGTATTTGGATAAATGAAAAATTGAAAATAAAAATAATATTTGGATAGTTCAATTTCTGACTTTTATCGGAAATTTTAATCCAACATGGAAATTATAAAATTGAGGAAAATGACAATACAATTCAACTCAACCTCAAAGAGAGAGAGAGAGAGAGAGAGAGAGAGAGAGAGAGAGAGAGAGAGAGATCCACAAATGTGTGGTATTGTAATGAATGCCCTAGCGGAATTAAAAGTACAAGATACAGCAATATAAATATATTAATTATTCCAAATTACAATATAAATATAATTTTCCAAAATATTATTGATTTTTCACCACAATTTACAAAAATATTAAACGGTTACTAATATATATTAAATTAATATCAACTAAAAATAATTAAAATATTACTTTAATATATATTAATATAGGTATAGTCATTTTGAGAAAAATATAATATATTTTAACAACGTTAAATAATCATTTTAACAAAATAGTGTATTTTTATGTGATTTTCTTAAAAAGTAAAAATATTAGCTGTAAAAATTTTGCGGGGATGGAAGAAACGGATGAATCCAGTCATGAGGCGATGAAAAACAGGACACGTGTCACGTTGGGAAGGGAAGGACATAGAAGCGGTCCATTGGTCACTTCACCTGTCCTTCCCTTTGAAGTTTCAATGTTTTCTCTAATTCACATTTCGACCCCGTTTTGTCGTTTTCTGAGATAAACATACACGTCATTTTACTTTTTCCCTTTTTTTCGATTTCACCCATTTGTTTTGTAAAATATAAAAATTAACCCACGATGGCTAAATTTGATATTTCCATTTCCTAGCAGTTTATTTTTTAGAACATGTTTGGGTTAAATTGTTTCTAATATAGGTTTAATGCAATGTAATATCGGTAATAAAAACTATTGCATTGTAATAATCCATTATTGAATTGAAAAATAAAATTTTAATAAATTAGACAGAAATGATCAAGTAATTTAATGATTGGTAAAATCTATGATATAATCAGAAATTTAAATTTCTATAATAATGGATTAATATTAAATTATTCGGCTGAAATGAAAACTAAAAGGTTGTTCGAGGAAATGCTAAAAGGAAATATAGGATATGGTGTTTTGTTTTTATGTAATTAGCCTTTTCCGAAACAACACCAATATTTGTTCCCTCAGCGAATCGTCATCTTCCTCTCTCTCTCTCTCTCCCCCCCCCCCCCCCTTTTCCCCTCTCTTCTTTGCTTCTCGGTCTTTCTCAGGCCTCTCTGCCGCACAGAGAGAGAGAGAGAGATATTTTTTTCTCATACTTTGTATTGTTATTCGTCTCTTGTTCGTTTCTCATAGACTCTGGTGTGCTCGATTCTCTTTCCTGCAAATTCTAGATACCCAGATCGAATAAACACAAAACCCACGTTTGGTTTTTCTACGCAGACTGTGATTTTTATTTTCTAGCATTTTTTCCGATAAAAAAATCTTTTTTTTTCTTCGTGGGTGATCTGAGTTTTCATCAATGGCGCCGAGTTTTGACTGTGCGGCTTTCTCGCGCCTCCTTTGCTCTGAAGACGACGGTGTCTTCGACAGCAGTGATAATTACGAGGCCACAAGCTTCCTTAGTAATCATCGAGCGGAAAGTCATCGTGACCGGAACTTTCACGGCGGAAACGTCCCTCCGCCGTTGGAGAGCGAAGAAGTTCTGTGTTCGTTGATTTCAAAGGAACCTGAGCACTTGCCGAAAGATGATTACTCGGAAAGATTGCGAAATGGTGATCTCGATTTGGTTGGTAGAGCAGAAGCCATTGATTGGATTTGCAAGGTTTGTTCGGATTTTTCTCGCTAGGAGCCTTTATGAGCGGGTGATTAAGTGGGTGTTTCTCTGTTTTGGGCGTTGATTACTGTTGCCTTGCTGTCCATTTGATTGAGTTTAATGAATGATTAAATCTAATGGTTCTTCCTCATTAACTCAGGTTCATACCCATTTTGGCTTTGGTCCTCTCTGTGCATATTTGTCTATAAACTACATGGACAGATTCTTGTCCTCCTATGAATTGCCTGTAAGTCGTCGTCTTCCTGTTTCGTCTTGCCTGTAAGTCCTTGCTCCTCGGTTTCCTGTGTTTACCCTCTTGTCTGAAATGTGGATGCAACAGAAGGGCAAAGCATGGATGATGCAATTGTTGGCTGTGGCATGTTTGTCCCTTGCCGCCAAAATGGAGGAGACTGAGGTCCCACTCTCTCTGGATCTACAGGTTTGCACTCTCATTTCCAACAAAAATCCAAACTTTTTGTTGAGTTCTATGGATTTAATTAGAAGGTGTTGAAAAATGAGCAGGTGGGTGAGTCGAAATTTGTGTTCGAGGCAAGAACCATACAGAGGATGGAGCTTCTTGTGCTTGGCACATTGCAGTGGAGAATGCAAGCAGTGACACCGTTTTCCTTCTTGGATTATTTCCATTCAAAGATCGACGTTGACCCATCTCTCCAAAGATTCACAATCTTTAGATCCATTCAACTTATCTCAAGCGCATTCAGAGGTAATCGAGATCTCCCTTGAAGCTATTTAAGATCGAAGCTCTTTTCGATACAGATTTCGACGTAGAAATCAGAAGAATTGAGTGATTGGTATGAGTTGACGGATTAATGGATTCAAGGGTGGTGGGTGCGTGGAAAATAAATGCAGGGATTCATTTCTTGGAATTCAAGCCTTCAGAGATAGCAGCAGCTGCGGTAATTTCTTCTGCAGAGGAAATTCACGTTGCTTTGGACCGTGAAAAAGCGCTCTCTGATCTCTCTCCATACGTTTCAAAGGTAAAAAAAAAAAGATGAACCTTCTTGGTGGTGGTCCATCCTCACAAAAACATAGGTTCTATCATTCATGATGACATCATCATCGTCTTTGTTGGTGGCTGGTATTTCACTTTGTGTGTGTATATTTGTTATCTTTCATTCAGGAAAGGTTGTTGAAATGTAAAGAGTTGATCCAAGGGCAAGGATTAACGGGTTTCTCGTCACTCCAATTTGCTCCAAAGAGTCCGAATGGAGTGCTTGAAGCATCGTGCTTGAGCTTCAGAAGCGATGAATCGTCTTCACTTGTAGGCTCTCGAAGCAGCAGCCCTGTCATTAAACGCAGAAGGCTAAACCGATCTTGTGAAGCCGAAGCTATGATTAATTGATGGGGAATAAGATTTTGGTATCTTCACACAGAACACAAGAACACATAAAAAGGGGTAATAAAAGGATATGTTTATTCTTATACACAAGATATTTTTCCCGTGAGGTTTCTGTTTCCCTCTTTGACGAAACCCAAGACTCAGTGGTAGGGAGCAAAATGAACAATTTTAAAATTTTGTGTGAAAACGAATTTGGTGAAATTTTGTGGGGCTGGAATACAAGTTGGAAATGCTTCATTAAGGGTGTGGAGAAACAACGATGTGGTAGCACAACTTTGACGTTTCTTTGCTGCGTGCCGAATTATGTTTTTTTCATAAATTATATCAAATAAATATATAAATTTTTAATTGATCTAATTGATATTTTATTAAATATTCTAAATTGATATAACAAATTTTAAAATATATTCAAATTAATATCTTAATTTACGAAAATCGAAAACAATTTACAACTTCAATTCATTTTTTATAGGGTAAAACCCCTAAAAAACCTCCAACTTGCAAAAATATATACAAATAAACTTTCAACTTGAAAAACTATCATACAATCCCTGAACTTGTAATTTGTCACTGAATAAAACCTCGAACTTGCAAATTATTGCTCTAATAAACCTTTGACCGGTTTGACCACAATTTCAGGCGATCGGAAATTCACGTATTAATGGATTGCTAATGTCACCTTATACACGTTATCAATTTTAATTTAAAAAATGACATCAGCAATCCGTCAATACATGGATTTCCGATCGTTTGAAATTGTGGTCAAACCGGTCAAATGTTTATTAGAACAATAATTTGCAAGTTCGAGGTTTTATTCAGTGACAAGTTACAAGTTCGGGGATTGAATGACAATTTTTCAAGTTAAAGGTTTATTTGTATATATTTTTGCAAGTTGGAGATTTTTTAGGGGTTTTACCCTTTTTTATATTGTAAATTGACAACTAGTTTATTATCATCACAGTTGAGTTTGAAAATTACCATTGATTTCGTTAGTTGATATAGCCCTTTAGAACACTTTAATATTTGAAGTATTAATTTAAATATTGTAATATTTGAAGTATCAATTATATCAAACTTAAAAATGTATATATGTAACGAACCATGTTCTGAATTCAATAATCACATGCATAAATTCTTAAACCAAAATGGAAAAAACCATGAGAATTGAATATAAACTGAAATTTAATAACATATATATAATAAAAATAAATAATAATAATAATAACAACAATAATAATAATTGTTAGAAAAATTGGATAAATGCTATATTTGAAATATATTAAATAAGTAGATAATTATAAAATTTTGAATTTCTTAAAACTAATTTGCGGTGAATGAGAAATTAATATTTAAATGTCGTTATTTAAAAGAAATGTAAAATGTGGTGGAATAACATTTGTCCCATATTGAAAAAATGACAAAGAATAAGGAAGAAAATTTTCTTATATATGTGTTTATACCACATCGAAAGTTTTTGCCAAGAGAAAGGAAAGAACTTCTTTATAAAAAGAGTTTCACCTTAAGTTAACGATATCCAAACTCAAGGTTGACTAAAGGTAAAAAGGCTTGATCCTATTTTTTTCTCTTTGAGAGAAAATGAACGAAGTTTCTCCAATGGAACCGTAACCACTTAATAACTGGGCAATTTCGTCTTGAGGAGATTGTGTAGAACACAAACCTCGACTTAACTACTTCCAAATTTTCTTTTTTCTGAAAATTTTGTCTGAATTTCAGAATCCCACATCGCCAGATTCAATATTCTCAAGACGAAATTTGTGTCTATAAGACATGGATAGTTCTTCAAGTGCTCTACTAAGGTCTGTTCCTGGACAAGGAACGATACCTCTACAAGTGAGTGTTCCGATAGGATCTGTTTATGTCCAAGGAACGACCCCGGTAGGATATGTTCCTACACAAGGGGAGAAGTCAGCAAAGTTCTATGGCGTGGACTTTAGAGGAAAACAATAGTTATGGATTTTTTCAACACGAACTCAAATTACAATATTCACCGCCTCAACCATCGGACAATCTCATATGCGTCACCGCCGTTTTCTCATCCATCATGTATCGGAAAAAAGGTGTCTAATTTTATGTAAGCAATTATTCATTTAATAGATTTATGTTTTTATAAGATTCTTTGTTGATAAACTTTGAGGTTTGTATGGATTTAGATTGAAGCATGGATAAAAATAGTGTGCCTTTAGATAAAGGCAATTGTTCATTTAATAGATTTATGTTTTTATAAGATTCTTTGTTGATAAACTTTGAGGTTTGTATGGATTTAGATTGAAGCATGGGTAAAAATAGTGTGCCTTTAGATAAAGGTTGGAAGAGAAATTTTATATGTGGTATCCGAGAAAGGTCCTTGATGTTGACGTTGTTCACGGGATCCATCATATCGACCATAATATTCTCCACCACAGTCTGATTTGACAATTTAAATCATTTTTTCTTAGTTGATTTTCAATTTTCGCTTTAAAGGATTTGAACACGTTTAGTGCTTGTGATTCCTCATAGATGAAATACATATAATCATATCTAGAATAATCATTGATCGTCTATGAATGATATGAAATATCATTGATCATTCCAAGATGTAGGGAGATATCCGTATATATCAATTCTAAGACATCTGTAGTTCTAGATGCATCTAACCGTCTTGTTTTGTTTGTTTACCCTTGGTACATTCAACACAAATTTTGAGTTTTGTTAAATCCGGAATATCAAGGATTCCATCTGACACGAGTCTTTCTTTCTTTTGTTTGGATATATGATCTAATCTTTTGTGCTATAATTTAGCAAAATTTTTCTCGGTTAATTGTCGTTTTATACCACATAAGTTTACTTGGAAATTTTTGTTATATGAAGCGATTGAGTTTAACATATAAAGATTATCGTATATTGATAAAGTACCAGAATCTTATAAAATAGAATCTTTGTAAAGAGAAAAACATTCATTCTCAAATAAACAAGAATGACCGAATATGTCCAAAATAGAAATAGAAATCAAGTTCCGTCTAAAAGACAGAACAACATAAGTTATCTCAAGATCCAAATAATAACCCGTACTTAACAATAATCTAAATACTCTAATTACTTCAACTTTCACAACCAAGTTGTTGCTCACGTAAATGTTCTTTTTAAAGTCATTTGGCTTCTGGCTCCTTATGCATCCCTACATAGACACATTAATGTGAGTGGTAGTCCCTGAATCTATCCACCAAGTGTGTTGTGGTACAGAAGTTAAATTAACTTCAGAACAAACCAAAACGAGAAATTCACCTTTCTTAGAAAGTCATGCCTTGTAAGATGTGCAATCCTTCTTCATGTGCCCGCTTTTCTTGCAGAAGAAGCATGTGAAGTTCTTCACCGGCTTCTTGAACAGCTTCCTCCGAACTGAGTGATGTCGTCAATCTAGGTCTAGAAATTTGATCAAGTAATAATATCCTAGACTCAACAAATACTGCAAGTGTACGGATCGTATTTAGTAGCTAGGGTCGAACACAGGGACAAAAGTAGACAAATAAATCAAATCCAAATCTAAGTCTAAATCTAGAGAGAAATAATATGGGTGTGAGGACGAAGCAAAACAAATAGTAAGAATGGCTGTAAACTATGAATGATAAACACTGGAGGCTTCGGGATTGCTTTACATGCAAAGATCTCTTCTAAAGATGAAAACTCTGTGGTTTATAAATCTAATCTGGAGAATTCAAGCTCTAAAGTAGAGAGTAACTCTCTGAGTCTAATCTCACTATTCAGGCTATATTCTACTAATCTCTCGATTCAATAGTCTAAACTCTGGATGAATGAACGAACGCTATCATAATCCCTAGGCAAATATCCATCTCTCGATGTGATACCTGTTCTATCTATTGAGTTATTTCCAGATTAGAATCTCATATGTCTATGCGAATTAAAACCCTAAGTTCATTCAAACAAGTAGCCAACAAGATCAAACGCAACTCAATAAACCAAATCAAATAAATAATACCATATATTCTGGAATTAAGAACCAAAGATCTCTACATAGCAAATCCCTAACCTACAACAAAAGAACTACTCGCTAAACATCGAAACGACAGAGTTCATATCAATACAACAAAACATCGTAAAATAGAAGAAAAGAAGAATGCTTAGTCGATTTTCCGATTTCGTAATCTCCTTCTTCTACTCCAATCTCTTGCCTCCTGATAATCTCCTTTTTTCGTGTACTCTAGGGTGTATTCTCTGATGAGAACTTGAATAATTCCGACCTAGAGGCTTTCCCCTTTTATCTCCCTTCGTTTTGGGCAAAATTGGAAGTATTTCCAAATCTGGGGTCGATCCGATCATTTCGTGCCAAACCGATCGGTTCCACTTTCTGAGCAATTTTCCAATTTTTGCGACGCCGAACTATCGTTTCGTCCATCCCGAACTGATCTTGTCACGTTTCTGGGCAGTTTTGACGGGCTTCACAAATTCGTTCATAACTTTTTGCTCCGATATCGGATTTAAGTCACATAGTGTCTATGCGTAGATATTGAGAAGAACTTTCCAATGACATTGAAAACGCATGATTTGGACTTGTAGAATGAAAGTTATTGAACTTGCAAAATTTGACGTTTTATGAGCTTCACGTTTTCCCTGGAAATACTCCAAGTGTTCCCATTTAGTCCGTGATGTTCCGTAGTTTATGTTTTCCACTCCTTTTGCTCTTTTTATATATGCGTAAAAACCTATTTAAATACCAAAGAAGACAACCATCCAATATCGAAGCCAAATGTGCCCTAGAATGCCTACAAATATGTAAAACCGAGTGAAATACGCTAGACATCCTATATCAAAACATGATATAAAATACATGTTATCACTGAGTTAACAACTTCCTTTTGCTTTGGGTATTTCTTTCCCACGTCTTTATCTTTTGATGAGGATACAAGATGAGCAACATCCATCTTTTCATGTCTCAATCTCTTTCTTCTTGAACACAATGGGATATCAGCTCATTAATTGCCCATTCCTTTTGGAAATTGTACAAAATCCGAAAAGATCCATACTGTGTTGGAAGAGAGATCAAGATCAAGTGCACTAATAGATCAACGGAGATGCCCAACTTAAATGCCTTGAGCTTGGAAACGAGTGTTGGTTTAGTGCTCTATGATGTACTATTTTGCGAGCTTTATTTATAGATACATTTGATGTATTGACACTTTCTATGAGTTGATGGATGAGTGTTTTATTCATTACATGTTTTT